TTGCTTGTGTTTCAATTTGTTTCTGTTTGCGACCAGCTTCGTGACATCTACAAAATTCCTTCGTCTCGAACGTGATTCCCAGAATATGTGAAGCACAGCGCCATAGGACTTCCCGTTACTTATTAAGCGACCTTCAAATGGACATGTCGATTTAACTGTCTCACGACTGCAAAGAACATCCGAGTTCCACAAGAGCAAGCAACATCTTTGGCCGCCTGAAAACCAGCTTTTCGAAAAAAAATCTACACTGGGGAGTTAGGTTAGTCAGCTGGTACTTAACGCGTATAGGTGATGTGCCATTTTATTTTATCTGGCAAATCAAGTTACCACTTAGTCTGGCATCCAAATCTCCAAGCACTCTACGCTTTTGAAACTTAGTGGCAGAGTTCTTAGCGTTATGATTAAGAAGGGAAGAGCGAAGCATAAAGGGAACAAGAAATGCGCACAAAAATTTGTATTAAGACATCACTTGAAAGTAAGCTGTAGACGGGCAATGGATGATGTAAATATAAGGTGGGAAAAGCAGATTTGTGTGTCGACGGCGATGAATATCTGGATTATACCATTTTCACAACTCTGCTTCTTTGGTTATTTTACTACGCATTCTCAAATTATTAATCATCAAATAGTAAGCTGTGAATAATAAATTTGCAAGAAAATTGTGGTTCAGCTCTTGCCTGCAAGGGCTGAGGGAAACAACAACAAAAAAGCCAGGTATTGATACTTGGCCTCCGACGTCCAATTCTCATATATTATCATGCTGCTCTGATACGAATCCTCAACACAGCTACTGTGCGGAAGGACGTCGTGATACATCAACATTTCTATACGACCGTCACCTACTTCTGTGTTGTCTAACAGCTAACTAGCCCCTTACTCTCCTCACACCGTATTCACAAAGGAATAAGTTGGGTTGCAGCAAAGTAGGCGCACTTGTCCAGTCCTAACGTTCAACACAAGAACGTTAAAAACAACATTCTACCGCTTCCACTTTCTTTTAGTTAAGTCACCGATAGCACGTCATATTATACGTATTCTAACACTTAGAATTACTTTAACATCAAAAAACAGGCTATAAGAATATTCAGTACTATCTTTCTTTGTATTAACATATGTGCCAGTCCAGGTCCGTGGCTCAATTCCCGAACGGACTGAAACTTGAGATGAGGGTAAACCAGGCTTTGGCATATTAATCTGGTTTATATGAACGAAGGAGGTGTGATTAGATGATACTTGGTACACCTCACGTCATCAAAATTTGAGTGATTTTATTAATTTTTGGCTTTGTCCAATGTATCACATTGGGAAAGAGAGTGGCGCCATCCTGGCGTGTGAAAGTCTCTTCCCCCGACATTCGGTTTAGTGACCGTTGGTTTGGGGCGCCCTAGTATGTGTGGAGTGACGATTGCCAGAATTTGAATGTGGCTGTTCGGCACGTTTCCGACGTCATAAGTGACTTTTTGGGGGACGAATCGGATTTTCATATTCAATTCAAAATTCAAGAACAGTTACGTTGCGGGAATATAAAAAGCGAGATTGCGTTGGTACTCGCTCTCTGAAAGTTTGGTTCTTCAAGGCAAGCAGACAGTTTCTGCTTGATTCTTACAATTATAAATACAACAGCCGAATCATCGCGCTGCCCTACAATCAGAATAACTTATTGTACAACAGCGTCTCGAAAGGGAATAAAAGGTGAAACGTCTGCAAGGTGACTTCGGTATGGTCTGCAGTTGATCATCCCCACAGATTTCATGTCCTTGGCGCACGGCCGCTTAAAACTATCACAGTCCCCGTATATTCCCTGAGAGTCGGAGACTCTTGCTTTCCGACAGAATCCTACATCAATTATCCCTTATATCCTTCCGCATTATCCGAAGTTATATCAAGCTGTAACGGCCAGCAAACCGGGCACGCTACTGGGCTTCATCCCGTGGCAACCAGAGTGAGAAGAAAACAGTCTGCGGAAGGGCGGTTGCACATATATAACTGTTGTTAACGGAAAACTTACAAAAATGTATTATATGGCTTGTAGAACCTTAAAAATTCTCTCTCACGATACGCAAATAACTCAACACTAATGTAGCAGTATTTATAAAACATGCTGTACATCCCAAAACTTCATCATACGACACTAACTGTTAATTTCGACTGGATACGATACAATTGTCATGGATAGCCACAAGAACAAATAAATGGATGATTTTATGGTAAGAATATAATGTCACATTTGTAAGTTTATGCCTAAACACTGACCTTTGGATCACCGAGCGATGTGTAACATCACAGAGCTGCCATCTGTGAGCCTACACTAGAAGTATATGCACCGTAGCAAAATATAATCAATATCAACGACCTTCTACGTGAAAATACGAAGACTCAAATTTCAACATGGCTACAATCCCTTGTCCTGGTTTTCCTCAGTCCTTCAAGATAAATTTCATAATATCGCCTTCCAACTACTCATGGTTGCTTTATCTGACCTCATTTTCAGTTTACTGTCCATGATAACCAACCCCTCCAATCTGATGCCTAATAAACTGTGCAGTTGATAGTGTCTTTGGACAATGAACTAACAAACTTCTACTAATACCTAAACTATTCAAATAAAAATGACACACAGTTCCACAGTAAAAATAAAACAAAATGTCACATAAATCACTTGATGCCTTCAAAATCTGCAGGACCAAAATGTCTGTTCAAAATTACAAGATGAACACTAATCAGACAACTTTCACGTGATTCCTATATTGTTCAATGAACTCAATGACAGTATAAACCAAATACCAAGGAGTAAACAAAAGGAGATACTTGTTGGTCATTACATAAATATAATATTCTATATTTCCAAAATCTACGGACATATGCGCAAGCGCACGCACCGAGTTCCCAAACTTATACATACACATTTTTATCACAAAACATTACAAAGACGTCTTTCTATCAAGGGGCATGATGACAATCTTGCTCTCATCATCTGCGTGCAGGGTAAGACCCATCTCAAGGAGGACAGACGAATCAACTGTCCCCTTGCGAGTCATAGAAGCAATCACAGCCTGGTTCTCCAAGTTGTTCTCGCACAGGTTTCGAATCGCCAAAACAACCCACTGTATGATCACTGTCAGCTTCGTCAAGGAACAGCACATTTGTAAGGACATACCGCGCAATTCAGCTCAAATATGTTCCACGAGAAAAACAACAGAAATACAGATTTTGCTAGCAACACATTCAGTACAAGACAACAGAAGAAATTGCAAGGAGCGCGCAGAAAGAATAAATGAGCTCTGATGGGCTATCAAAATACGAAATATAGAAATATTAACTAAAGGAAGATGACAGTTACGAAGATTTTGCTCAATAATATTCCTAAGACCAACTAAGAATATCTTTAGAGTCAGGCAAACGTCACAAAAGTAATCTTAGGCTGACTTCGTTGGACAAGAGTTGGTAGATGGTTCTACAGGGATCTGAACAAATGCAGGTGGATGGAATCTGTCACAGTCACAATGTTTTTCAAAGAAGGGAAAGGCGAGTTCAGAAAACTTCACAATATCTGGAGGCAAAGAACTGTGCCACTCAAGTGCAGCAACATCCTTAAATGACCACGATTTTAAACGAGTATTCAAAATAACAGCAACAAAACTTGTAATGCTATAAATCCTGAATGCTGTTAGTAAAAGCTGACAAGACTCACCTGTCTGGAAGCAAGACAAGAAAAGCAAGAGTACAACACTTGTAAAGTAAAATTAAATAGTTGAGGATACATGGATTTCTTGCATCAATATTACAGCAATCCAAGAGAACTGAGATGCAGTCCAGCTTCCGAACCTGCAGAAACACACAATAATGCCGATCACGACTGAAAAGCATGAGACACTGGACAGGAAGAAATGCATGTGGAACAACGGGGCTGAATCCAGGAACAGGATGAGAAAGAAAACTCGGAGGTGAAACAGTATCAGAAATATTGAACATCTTCACAAAAAAAAAGTTTGACAACATATACAGCAGATTTAGGGACGAAAACTCCAAGGAAAGGGACAAACTGGGAGAACAATATTAAAATGAATCTGGAGGAATCAGACCAGCAGAACTGAATTAAACTGCCTTAGGACAGGGTTTAATTGTGGGCTTTCATAAAGGTAATAAAACCTTGGAGTTGCATATATGCCAGGAATTCAATGACCAACTCAGTGACTATTAGGTTTTTAAAGAGGTCTGTACTCCATGCAGTTACTTCATTACTGTAATATTAAACACAAACCAAGACACAAGCAACCACATTTTTATGAGTACGAGATGCAGGCTTATAGAAAGCTTGCTGGTAATTGTAAGGAAGGAAATGAATTGGCACTATGAGACATTACTCCTCACTCCAATGCTACAATAATTCTCGTATGTTATATGGTCTACAAATTATTATTTTTTTATATATTATTTTGCGTGAAAATTGGCTGGAAGCCATAAGTGTAAAGGTAGCTCATCCTTAGCGTGTCAAGACCGTTATATTTCACTAGGACAATACCTACAAAATTGACAGGATTTTAATTAACTCCATGAAACAAAGTCATTAACGAGAAACTAATAGTTCATACGCTAATGAAGTAATTCCCATTATTTTATGGATTCCGAATGTTCGTTACAGCCGCACAACAGCTCATCAGTGACCTGCATCCTGAGTCAAACGAATTCGGTCCATGCGCTCACACTTTCCATTTTTATGTTGTTCTAAACAATTCATAAAATATAAGACCCAGCGCAGCAATTAAACACTAATTTTTAAATGTGACGACATGTTAACAAAGGCACGACCCTCAAGCCGAAGAACCGCCCCTTGTCGGGTGACGACTTCTTATTCAAATATTCAAAGCTATCCTAAATAACTTGAAGCGGACTCCTCTGTCTGCAACCTGAGAATGCGCCATGCTGCAGTGACAAGGAGCTGACTTAAGATTACAGACTTTTCTTCGCCAAATGGAACTTATAAGTCAACAATAACTTACCTGATTCTGATTTTCTGGGTGTCTCCAGCAGAGGTTGCCCAGCATCTGCACCAAACAGCTCTTGAACCCAAATGCAGGGTGCTCGTGTATATTACTGCTTTGCGTAAAGCTTGACAAGTCAGCCAACTTCTGCACTGCTGAGAAATTATTCTGCCCCATCTTGCCAAGATTGTGCATACTGCATAGCAGCACTGCAATATAAAAACAAATGCAGAAATGTCAAATTCTCCGTATCTGAGCAAGCCACAAAGGTGTACAGTAAGCATCGAAGCACATCTCTACATATTCCAGACTTCGGCACTTGAGAGACGCGACTACTCAATTTCACACTCTGGCTGTGTTAATAAGAGACTGCCACTGCGTGTAACAACAGAGATAAAGAACTGAACCCTGGTTGTTCAACTCGTAGCCAGTTACTTTACTTACTGACAACTGAGCTTGTGAACAAAACATGGTACTGGCACACCATTCACATGTTTTAGTTAATAAGTCAGTCCAACTGATAATATATCTTAATTTTAATATTTTCTTCCTTTTTTCAGTCAGACAGGATACGTAACAGACACTGTGCCATCTGTTTGCAAATTTCAGACAAAACAGACCAGAAACTTGAGAGTGTGTGTGGTCTCTGCAAACTGTTGACATTTATTATCCATTATAGAACCTGAGCCTAATCTGACACAACTTAATTACATCCTCACACTCTATTTCTCAAGGCCCATTTTAATATTTCTGCTTTTATTTATTTGAAAATTAACATAAAAATAAGAAATATTACAATGCTAAAGTGCAACTCAAGCAATGACATACAAGTATAAATGAAGCTACACACCAAACAGCACTTTTATGAAAGTTAGAATCACGTATTAAAAGGTTTAAACCTTACAGTGAAATATCAGCTACAAAGGAAGAAGAAAGTAGTGTTTAAAATTCTGCCCTATGAGAACACTGGGAAATTTGAACCAACAAACAGCTACGTCATGGCCTGCGAGTGTGAAGTGGGCCAGATACAAACAGTAAGTCCTCATTAAATCCTGCTTCCTCAAGAATGTTTCCTTTTTGACAATGGCTCTGAAGTCATGAAGATAGACAGTAACTTACTTGAACACGTAATAAGAAGAGAGGTGTCCTTCTGCAGCTCTGAACGATAGTTGCCGTTGGCAGACGCAGAAGCCAAGAGTTGAAGCAGTTTTGACACTTCTGCAGGCTCCAGACCTTCAACATACTTCTCACAGGTCTTAAGAATGCAGTCAGAATGAACTTTGAATTGACTGGCCAAGAATGTTATAGAAGTGACAGGAATACGGGCGTCACCGTCTGCAGTAATCATAAAATGCACAGCATCAAGTAAGAAGAGACGGTGTGTCACAGCTACTTTTTCATACACCTTTGGTAGATAACCCATCCTTGACAGCAGCAACTCAACAGTAAACAGTCTGAAAACAGGAAGACACTGTGAGACTCCACAAGCCTTCTGAATCATATTCACAATCATAAAATATGACAAAAATCAGACGCATGCATAAAAAATACAGTAATACAACAAATACTCAGCACACAGCCTTTAGAAGAGCTTGTGGAAACACATACAAGGTGTTCGGGATCTCACACAAAAATTTTGACGTAAATACATCTATACGGAAGGGTCATTCGGCAAAAACAGGGTTACGAAAATGTGTAAGATCCATACCAACAATGTGTAAATATGGACCGACAATGATCAGCTTTTATATGAACTCCTGCGTGTATAACAATGCAAGAAAAAGGATTTGAATTTCTAACACACACCTGCAACAATACTGGCTGGCAATAAATACAATGAATGGAAGGTAGCTGAATGTAGCGTAATATAATGAAATGTAATGTCAAAATTATCTTCTTCTACAAGCGATCACAGCTCAGCTCTTTCCGCAATAACGAAAGCGGATTGTTGACGACAGTAATGTAACACAACAATGCCGAGTAAACAGATGACGTTTCCTAGGTAACATAATGATGCACGCAAGCTGACCATTGTTGTCGGTCCATATTTACACATTGTTGATATGGATCTTACACGTTAGGTAACAACAATGCCGAGTAAACACGACATTCCCTAGGTAACCATTGTTGTGGATTTGTTGATACAGATCTTACACATTTTCGTTCCACGTTTTCCTTTCACTTTTTTGCCGCACGACTCTTCCGTATAGACATATTTACATCAAAAATAACGAAAGCTTACGCAAATTCTGAGTCCGCCATGGCATGGTCTATCAGGATTTCCAAGATTTCTTTACAGTTTTCCACAGCAGCACTTATGTCTGGATGACCCAATAAGATGTTGTATATGACCATTGATGAATAATTTGCAACCTTCTTGTCTTCATACTTCAATAGATCTCTGGAACAGAAAAATACTTCTGAAACATACTATTCCTTACTTTCACCACACAAGTGATAATTTTATTTAATAATGCTTCATCAGTTACACTGGTTATGTAGCATCATCTTACATAACAAAATAGTTGAATCATTTTACTAAAGTCTAGCAATGAAAGATAGATCAGAAGTCATTTGCAGGCATATATACAACTTTCAACTGCCCTAGAGGACTGCAATATATGGCCAATCTGGCACACTTTCCTTCAGTTACTTACATTAGGACTTCTGAGCATTTTCTCCAAACTATAGGTTGAGTGTCCTTGTTGTTCACAACAATGTTTCCTAAGAATTGTGTTCCAACCCGTAAACAAAAAACATTATGTTCATTCCTTGGTAATAAAGACAATGCCTTCAAGATGTTGCATGTTTCATCAACAGCTACAGTTTTTTCAGTTACATCTTTCTGAATCTTAGGTTCACCAACGCAACTGTTTCTCAGGGCTCGGAAAGTTTCGCTTACAGCAGCCGCTACACTTGGTGAATCAACCTTGAACTCTGCAGCTGACACATGCAGGACTATGCCTAAACTTTCTAGTGCCTGCAAAGGCACACTTTTCCTGAAACAATACAAAAATACATTAGATACTGTAATTATTATGTCTTGAAAAATACAGTTTCCTGCTCACCTTGTAAGCATGAATTCATGTAATTCATATAATAATGAATATGTTTCTGTAAAATGTGAAATAGCATGTGAGAATCAAAATACACCTATTAGAAAAAAAGAAGACAAAGAAGTTATAGTTTATTAATATTTTATATAAAAGTTCATGAAGTTTTGTGGTAACAACATAACCAAAAAATTTCTCAGGATTCCATAAAAAGATACAATTTTTCCATAGTATATCACTGCTATTCTGTATTTTCTGTACTTTCAGACTTACTTGTATATAACATTTTATAAAAATTGATTTATAAAATCAGATTCCACAATTTAAATAAATGCCAATCATCATACATACATGCAAATGTAAAGGGGGGTTGAAATTCCCTATCCTGACAAGTTAATTTTGCTTATTATATGCTCCATTACCTGTTTTCTGGTTTTAAAAGAGCCTTTGAAATTGTAGTTAAAGTGTCACCAATTTCAGACCACTTTTTATTTCTTAAGAATGTAGTCAAAAGTTCACAGCACCGAAAGATATTTTCAACACCTAAAGAATCCGTATAATTATCATCTTCTTGCTCCAATTCCGTTACAGCCCTTAAATTATTCGAAAATTTTTTCGCGCTAGCCATTTTCTTTGCCAAAGCCCACCTTCCTCTAACACTGGATTATAAAATGACTGCTAAATTTCACATAATTTTATTATGAATATTTGCCCAAAGAGGACACTAGCATACATACAAGTAGGATGTAGGTTATACATTTCTTATTTTTAGTTTCTAAATGTCGTATAGATGGTACTAATATCGCATAACTGCATTGACGCTAATTTATCATCACTTTCTGCCAAATAAAATTAGTAGGTAAGTATAGATATGTGTATTTGTTTTCTAGATTCCAACAAATATTTTTACAAGACTAAAATTTTAAAACAATATAAACAATGAGCGACTATTCTGCCCGCTTACATTACATCATTCCTCATTCTTTCCGTTGGCATCCATGGTACATGTCGAACTGAAATTTACAAAAGAATAATTACTACTACTATACCGTTTGACTAATAAGCGGTTGATGAAAGTTTAATCTAGTATTATTTTATATATCCAGCTGTAAGTACTGCATTTAATAAACATTTGTCCAAATGTATACCGACGTAGATCAAGGAATGCAGGTCGGCAGGAAGTAGATAAGTTTCCCACTGATCTGTTTCATCAAATTTATTTAGCAATATCTCCTAATAAATAAATTATATTTTACGAGCCGATATCTTATTTAGTGGATACTACACACTGAAAGAGAAAGGAAAGCCACATCTATTTTTAACGTCTCCAAGAGAATAAGTTTATCAATCTTAAATAGGGATATTTCGGATTTATATTGGAGACATATTTGTGATCAAATGTTGGCATTAAATCGAATAATAATTGTTGCTGGCTGCTGCATTGTCGACAGTGACTAGCTACTTTAGAAGAGCAATTTTGAACTTGTAGTCGAAGGTAATGTATTTGCAATTAGGTTTAAATATTTACTGTTATTGTTTTAGGACAACTGAAACAAATATGACATCTTAAAAATGCAGATAGCCATTCTGTATATAGTATATTCGAGAGAAATGAAATTGGGAGGTTAGGTTCTGAAAGTGTACAATAATTGAGCAAGTGTATATTTGAATTGTGGAGGAGTAAAGCAAGTACAATTAAATCTAACATTTTATTTACAGATGTTTCTTACTCGTTCTGAATATGACAGAGGAGTTAATACCTTTTCTCCAGAAGGAAGGTTGTTTCAGGTAAGGAAGATTGAAAAATCATTTGTACCATATTTTTCATCTTCGTTGCTTTTTGTTACTCTGACCACTGGCATTTCGCCGCCGGTAACGTCTCAGCAAAATTCTAGAATGTTGTGAGAAGCAGAGTTCAGTCTTTGTATGTACATTGTGTTCTCTGATAAAGTTGAATGCAGATGCCACTTTCCAGCAGGAACTTCTATATTATAGGCAAGTTGATTTTGTTGTTTTTGTGTTGCACTACTAGACCTGTATTGGGAAAACCTCATAGTGCTTGGTAGTGAATAATGTGGTTCCACCCAGGAGCTAGGAAGTGACAATGTTATTCAACTTTATCACTGTATTACATAGTCATCCCAATAGGTTTCTCATAATAAATTTGTATTAGATTCCTTCTGGTTTTGTTATATTCTGCTATTACATTGACAGGAAGCTAAGCTGTGTGATTTGTTGACATCAATATGTGGTTCTTATGGTTATAAAGTTTTGTTAAAATGTTCAGCGAAGCTTCCTAATACTTCTAAACTGATTGAGGGCTGCATATATTTTTCTTTTGCAAGAGATTTAAAATCTGAAGAGTTCACATAGGAACTTTATTTATTTATTTATTTATTGTTTATTCTGCTTCCCAACATTATGCATTGTCTACTCACCAGCTCCAGATAGTTTGAGATATAAATGTTACAGCATCGTTGTTCTTTTGCCTTGTGACTTATATAAACATATTCAGCATTTAAACAAATATTGATGTTGCCTACTTCATGCAGAAATAATGAAGGGAATTAAAATGAATGATAATGGAGATGGTAGTTGAATGTGTTAATGAACTTTATCCTTCTTTTATCCTGCTCTTATTTCTATAATTTCCATGATCTCTCAGCTGCTGGTCATTCCAGTTCCAATATAATATTTTGCTGTAAGCATATGTACAATAGCATATATAGCTGTGAGGACAATTTTAGGTGGAGTATGCAATTGAGGCAATCAAGTTGGGTTCCACAGCAATTGGGATATGCACTTCTGAAGGGGTTGTTCTTGCAGTGGAGAAGCGTATCACCTCATCCCTTATGGAACCAACGACAGTTGAAAAGATTGTGGAAATTGACAAACATATTGGTAAGTCTGTTGATACAGCTGTTTTATCTGAACTGTGTTTGATTGGTGAGGTGTCAGATACCAGCACAAACAACTCCTCCTTTTTTCTCATTCCATTCACATCTGTTGTTTAGTGTCTCATGAGGGGTTGAAAAATTGTTCAAAAACCTACCTGCAAACTTATAAATTCAGTATCTCCCCCTCCCAATTTCTTTTGCTGAAAAAGTTTGTGTCTGTGCGTTACGTTATGTGAATTATTTGGAAGTCTTTGTCCTGCAGTCAGCATGTATTAACTTTATTAACTCTTCTTGCTTGTGACATTTTCCAGTCCTTATGGTTTCCACTTTACTACAAGTGCTAACAAATAAAATTAATGTTTATGTATATCTAAATCTTCTTTTGTTTCTTTTTTTGGAAAATTTTCAATCCTAATTACCCTCATCTGTATTTTAATATAATTTTGTATATGTTATTTGAATGCACTTGTGCATAATTCAACATAACTGATTATTCAGCAGGCTTTAACCTGATTATAGAGTTAAAATTAGATTTGTGAGATCTGCAGATATGTTACACATACCTACATGTGTTGACAGTATCAGAATTCGTTATACTTAGTTGCTATGGAAGCTTCAGATCATACATCAGGTTTCAGTGTGTTAGTAGATTTTAATATTTTGTTTCCCTGATGGGGATTGAAGATTGAGTGATGATATATCTTGCACATTGCAGGCTGTGCAGTGAGCGGGCTTATGGCTGACTCACGGACCATGATTGACCGAGCAAGAATTGAATGCCAGAACCACTGGTTCATCTACAATGAGAAAATGAGTGTGGAGTCAGCAGCTCAGGCAGTGTCAAACCTGGCCATCCAGTTTGGAGATTCAGATGATGATGGAGGGGCAATGGTAAAACACCTTCACATGGGTCACAGTACATTATAACATGCACTGTAGCTTTTCTGATTACCATATAAGTCTTTTAGATTGATACCTTTACTTAACAAGGATCATGTAGGAGTGAAGTTATGTGTCTCTATGCTTAATTACCAGCCCATGAAGAGGAAGGATGTAATGGAGGAAAAGCTCAATACATTCTTAACCTCAGCGTTAGGTGGGTGTGTGATTTGCTTTTTGGCGTGGGAAAAGGATTCCCACCCAGTGCCAATTTGTTACGAGGCTGTGTCACAGAGGTGGTCTGGATTTCTTGACAGAGGGAAATATCTTTGTCTCTTTTGCAAATCAAACCTTAGTTGTCCAGTTTGTAATTTGTTACACAACTGACTGCTCTCTGAGTTGTCTCTGTTACAGATATTTTAGCTTTTTATAATTAATTGAGGAATAAGTTAATGGAACTTGTCTGCATGTGGAGAGAAACCAATGCCTCTTCCATAAATTCAGACCCCAGTTGTTCAGATTGTAGTTAGTCACTTGCAAAAATATCCCTACAAAATCTTTTATCGATTTTAATGTAATATTTATTCTAAATTTGTAATAAACCTATATTTTAACATCAAGTTTTTTAAGTACCATGTGTTTCAAAATGCTCACTGTTTCAAGAAGATGGCTGTCTTCTGGGTTATTGCACCATATAGTCTGATAGAAGTTTATCTCAAACGCTATGCACTTTGTTTCATTTTTAGAGTCGTCCGTTCGGTGTGGCGATCTTGTTTGCCGGCTGTGATGAGAAGGGCCCGCAGCTTTTCCACATGGACCCATCTGGAACGTTTGTTCAGTTTGAAGCAAAAGCAATTGGATCAGGAAGCGAGGGTGCTCAACAGAGTTTACAAGAAGTATATCATAAGGTGCTCATCTCAACTCTGGACAATTTTTTCTGTTATACTGTTATAATATGTAGAAAATACCTTGAGTAGTGCATGTTGGCAATCATTACTAGCTTACAGTCCACCCATATACACTCTGCGATTCTTACTTGTGGCAACTGACACAGTTGCACCATGGTGATTGATTCCGAGATGTCCTCTAAGAGGGTTAAACAAGAGTTGTTTTCTACACAACATACTTTCATATCCTGTGGCTGCAGATGGTTCGGTGCTTTATTTCACTACCCTAGCAATACTACATGAGCTGTATGAAGTCCAACATTTGTTATGTCAAAATAATTGGCCGTGTTTTTACAACCATACATAATAAATGGAAACATTCTAGTTTTGTTTACCTTGAGCAGTGTATTTTGGAAAGAATACGGGATGATAAGAAATTTTGAGCTGTCAGTTGGAATTTTCTCCTGTGTATTATTTTTACACCTTGACATTTCAGGAGAAGGTTCGAGATTTTTAATTGCCAAACTTGTTGTTTTCAGTCCATGACGCTGAAGGAGGCTCTGAATGCAGTTTTGACAATCCTGAAACAAGTAATGGAGGAGAAACTGAGTTCGACAAATGTTGAAGTGATGACTATGACACCAAAACAGCTGTTTCATATGTTCTCAAAGGATGAGGTTGAAGAGGTGATCAAGGATATTGCATAATGTGCCGAAGTATTTGTAACTGCATTTTTCATCTTGGTACTAACGAAACAGGTTCTCCAGCTAGGTAACGGATGTGTAGTGCAGTGATACTGCCTGAGAACTGAAGCTTTATATTGTCATGGTTGATTAAACTTCAGTGTTTCAATGTGATGGGGCCTGTTACATCCTTTTCTTTTAGCGCTGTCATGCACATAATTTTCCTCATCACATAAGGAAAACTTATACCACATTGTAGATTAAAATTATACCAGGTATCTTCAGATTCAAAATTGTAAAAACAATGTTTTCATGACTCCAATGTTAAATGTTTATATAAATGGCTTGTTCTGCACCAGGTAAATGAGTACAGAGGAAGAGATTCAGTACTGACGAATTAATGCATAATGGCAATGAATTTTAAACCAGACTTATTCTCATTGATGATATCTAGGATGATGAATGTTGAAGTGAATGGTGCCTTCCATACAAGACAGTTTCTTGTCACCTGATTTTTAATAATAATGAAAGTTAGTCTGAATCTTTTTGCACCTTTGTGGCTTCTACATTATTTTTATTTTTAACCGTATCACGTTAGGAGAAGCATTTACACGATGTGATCCTGGACTGATGAATTTATTTATTGTTTTCTCTGCCTACATATTCTCACTGCACACAGATTTTGGATTATCCAGTAGCTAGTATGGATAGCAGTACAGAATTCTCAAAATCAACTCAAATCTGGGACAGAAGTTATTTTGGATTAAAACTGCACCATTCCAAAATTGGTTGTGGTTTAGAAATTTATTTTGTAGGATTTGAGGTTTTCATGGCAGTGAGTCTGAAGATGGCTGTCTTCAGGGTTGTTGCATCTTGTAGTCTGGCAGAAGTTTGCTGACGTTTGAGGGTGATGGGTACTCATCGCCCTGATGATGGAGGCAGCAGGGACTGAAACGTCAGTAAATTTCTACCACACTACAGGGTGCAACAATCAAGAAGACAGCCATCAAATTTCTTTGGTTTAGAAACATGAATGCTTTGACTACCAGATATTTTACTCCAACAAAATTTATCTATATTTGAAACAGTTATACAGTCTGTCCACAAAGTCCCTTCGGGTTTGAAAATTTGTGGCGCGCAAACAAATTGAGCTAGCCACGTGCGGTTTGCGGCAGATTACAGTGAAACTCTGGAAGTTTTTTACTGACCTCAGTAGACCTCGATGTGGGCTCCCTTGGTAGCACGGAGAACGTTCAGACGATATTCGCCCTTTTGCCATGTTCTGTGGAGCATGTCCGTTGGAATAGCTGAGATCGCATTCCTGATACGGGTCTTCAGGTCATGAAGTCTGTTAACTGGTGTTCGGAACACATTGCTCTTGACATAACCCCACAGGAAAAAATCCAGTGGTGTTATGTCTGGTGAACGTGGAGGCCAAGGCATTGGACCGTCTCTGCTGATCCATCTTGCGATCTCGGCTATTCCAGTGGACATGCTCCACAGAACATGGCAAGAGGTCGAATATTGTCTGGACGTTCTCCGTGCTACCAAGGGAGCCCACATCGAGGTCTACTGAGGTCAGTAAAGAACTTTCGGAGTTTCACTGTAATCTGCCGCAAACCGCACGTGGCTATCTCAATTTATTTGTGCACCACAATTTTTCAAAACCCCGAAGGGACTTTGTGGATGTCTCAGAACAAGAGGTGGTGACCTCTCCTCTACTCTCTGTCATTCATGTATCATGTGCATCTTTTGTGGTATGTTATATGTATAGAACTGTGGAGGCTCTTGTGATTGGCTCGTAGGATAATTATCGCGTCACTGTCATAGGATTACTGTTTTTATAGAATGTCTTTTCTCTTTTGGATTAATGTTAACCTGTCGGGGATAGGGAAGTATTTCCATTAGCCTGGCTGAGACGCCATCCTCTCGCATCTTGCTTGTGGTGTGCCCTGTTCAAGAGTCTGAATTGTGATGACGGAGTCGGGGCGGAGTAGCCGCTACACAAAGCCTATCCAGAGTCTGAAATTACCACTTACTGACAATTGGGCAACCTGTTGGGATATAGAGACGCCATTTTGTAAAAGAGTGTTATGCCATCATCGTCGGTGCAAATGGCCGTAGTAGCCGATGCGTCTGTAAACCCACTAGTACTGATAGTACCTGCGTCTTTCCTACTTGCTAACTCAAAGGTTTTCGTGTTTGGTAGTCGGTAATGGAATGTTATTCAGGCACTTTTGTTCACTGACTTAAAATCTGACGTGCACACTTCGGTTCTCAGGAGATGTTTTAATAGCTGGCTTTTGTTGTTCTTGTGTAACTTCTTACGTTCTGTCCATAGAAGTTCAGCTTTTTTGTGAGGTGATTTGAGAACGACACAGAGCACGTGAATTTTGCTGTGGCATATCCAAGCAGACACAGAAGTGTTCTTGTGACTTGAAACTGACGTCTCTTGCCTTTAAAACAATTCTGGATTTTTCCAAAATCAGGTTTTTTTTTTTTTTTTGTGTTTGTGGTGGAACTCTGTGGCTGTGAGCGACATCACCTGAAAATGCATTGAATGAAAATAAAGGAGATCAATAACACTTGTTATATGTAGTGTTTCTCTTACCTTTGCAAAAATGTACCCTTTATGCATTATTTTGCAGGTTGCTTAAATTTAAAATTGTAAGATGTGTTTGTGTCACACACAAGAATTTCCTGGTAAAAAATAGCAACAAGCAAAGTAACTCGGTGTAGTATCTTATTTATAAAGAGTTCAGATCTTATTAAGATTTCCGTCTTCTGGGTTGTTGCGCTGTGTAGTCTGGTCGATGTTAACCAACGTTTCAGAGGTCATACTGCCTCCATCATCAGCGCAATAACCCAGAAGACGGATATCTTCATACTCACCGCTGTGAGAACATCAAGTCTTACACAGTTCAGATCTTGGTTGGGGGATTTGCTTATGCAGTTCCATTCTCGACCAGACCTGATCTGGGATCTACCCATCCTGCTATTCAATGGGAACTAAAAGTTGTTTTGTATGGGTGAAGCATCTGAAACAAAAATGACTTGTTTCCATATACAGATATCAAGCATTCACGGAATTTTACCTCCACGCCCCTTATACATTTTAGAGGCATTAAAAGTAAGAGACGGTCGTGACTGACGTTCACATTTTGTAACAACATTTATTCTGTTACAAATTCTCTGGTCACTTAGGATTTCGAGTCGCACGGTGCATAGGCAACTCATACTACATGAGTGTTATTTGGGTTGCATAATGGGACAGGTTAACGTTGCTGATTTTTAACGCAGTTGTCTGATCTTTCATTGTTAAAGTTTATTTCTGCACATCGTACACATTTATGAGTTTATGATAAGCTCGATTTTGTACTGAACAAATTAAATCGTATATTAACAAAGCATTTTGAAATAAAATTCAAAATTGAACACCGATTGTACGAAGGCTTATTACTGTACATTATTTTAGAGAGACTTCAATTCGATATACATTCTCGTAACCAATATCCGTTTTAATATTATTTTCTCACCTTCTCGGACTTCAAATTTGTTACTATACACGGCGCCAGAACCCAGAAGAACATCATCTTCACCGCCGTGAAAACCTCCAATTTATAAAACTGTGTAGACTTGTCGATCGGTGCCAACGTTTCGGAGTAACATACTGTCTTCATCTTCAGGGTTGAAAATAAATTATGTTTTCTTTACCGAAATGTTGGTATCTAACGACTGATGTGTAAGTTCCAAGAAACTAAAACATCTGTTGGTTCACATGTTTTCTTTACCGAAATGTTGGTATCTAGCGACTGTTCCTGGATGTGCAAGTTCCAAGCAACTAGATCATCTGTTGGTTCACAACTTTGTGCAACACGTCCAGGCCACCCTGGGGTTACGGAGTCCTCCAAGATGAAAAGACAAACTCAACGTTTGCACCTGGAAACTGGTTTCAAGGAACCTGATAGTTGTGGGAGAAGATGAAGAAAGAAAGAAGAGAGATGTGAGATTATTTCTGGATCGAAGTAATGTATTCCTGCATTACAATGCGTTTGTCATCCGAGACTAAGCTACTCCTACAAAGTGATATTACAACCGAAGGACGCCTCTTCGAAGGTGCGACTGTTCGTGGTAGAGACACCGACAAAGCCTCGAGTCTCCATCTACTGGCAGGTATGAGAACTTACTTGTCAGGCCAATACGTGCAGCAGGCGGCCCTCATCAGCAGACTTGAAGTCACCTCGTAACAGGCCAGGCAGTCGCCATTTTATTGTGTTCAACCGAAGTTTTAACAAACTGCATGAATCGCTCGTAAGTTTGAACATTTTGTGATGTTGACGATTGTCGAACATTCGGATAAAAGTGTGATGACCGTCCTACAGTGTAGGTAACAGCTTGTGACGTTGTTCTGGCTGCATCTATTATTATTATTATTCGTAATACTGAAGAGAGAGAGTGCAGAGTACGTTGGTTTCGAAGCAATGGGCTCCAAAGTGGAATACGTTGAGTCGTCACACATTTACGCTACCAACTACGTGCGCAACTCGAAAGCCATTGGGGTATTGTGGGGTATTTTCACTATATGCTACGCCATAATCGTGGTGGTGGCATTTGTTACACCAGAGTGGATAGGCGACACCCTGGAGTCGGAATATCCCGGGCGGTTTGGGCTGTGGGCGAGGTGCTACTTCCACAGTTCGTCAGGAGGCGGTGAGGACTGTCAGGGTAGCCTGGATGACCTGTCCACTGTGTCCAGCCCTGCCTTCAGGGCGGCCACCGTCTTCGTGGGACTGGCCGTCATCCTCGCCCTCCTCGCCATATGCGCTATGTTGTTGTTCTTCTTCTTCCAATCTACCACCGTCTTCCACGTCTGTGCGTGGATCCAGGTTTCCTCAGGTAGGTGATGTTTGTTCTCACGTTGTCGATTCTTAGTTATTTAACCGTATCTTATGCGTGCTATATGCCCCGCCTCTCTCATCTTCCTTGACATGCTTACACTACTTCAGCTATAGAGCTTATATATGGCGTTGAATGATACGATGATTATGAATGATGGGTGTAACTTTATAGTACGTATTGCCTCTTTGGCTCATATGATGTTTTGATTTTTTACATATGGCAGCAGTCACAATGAATTTTTTTTATTCTTATATATTTATGCTATATTTTTGCAACACAATTGAATTCGGTTCAGGTTATGTTGATTTAATTTATGTTTGTGTCTGATTTTCTAAACATTAATTAGCGAATTTTTCTACGAGTTAGGAGACATGACGTCATGCAGGTGAGTGCTAAGTGAGTGTCTTGGAGTAGCGGAGTAAAACCACTGAACTCCTCAGTCAAAGGTAGTTCGTGTCAGGGCCGAAATTGAAACGTGTGACCTCTAGAACACCAGTGCGTCGTAAACCTCCCCTTCCCCAGGGCTTCCAATGTCCCTACTTGTCATACAAATCTGAACAAGTACGAACTTTTAAAGAGAGGCTTGAGTCAAGTGTCTGAATGTGAAAGAATGGAGCAGCTCAGGTAGAAATTTAACTCGCAGCATCTGTCTCAGATCTGTGCGATTAGTCCATCGTCATGGAACATGCAAATCATTCCGTGAGTAGTGACGGAAAAACAGATGACGCACGACCAGCGCGTGACTTTGTTGTAACAAATTTCTACGGTCACCTGTACTTTCTTTCTTAGAATAAAAAGACAGCAATTATAAAAGGAGCAAAGACGGCTGGAGTGTGAAACTGGCCACACACCTCCGTGAACTCATTGGATGTTGCATTGTAATGAACTGAAGTCCTATCTTATATTTGGGATGTTTTTGATTGCTTTTTTTTCCACAAAGACGTGCCACTGGATAGTTTATTTCAGTGTTAAATTAAATAATATTGATTATATAGCTTAAAGTAGAATACATACCGAAAATGCTTGCTAACTCTCAACTTACGAATGCCTTGATTTTTTTCTCTGTTTTTGTGTTATCTGGGAAAGGAAATGGTTTAGCTGGGTCTGAATATAAATTACAGAGAACATTTCGGTCGAGCACATACGAACGAAGAGAGAATCAAGAAAACTAGACAACTAGAATCTTCATGATTTATTTTCTTCATCTGGCGGCTCCCCCAATCTCGTGGGATTGCGCGTTTACATTCCGCAACAGGAGAAAGTTTTCGTGTGCGCGCAATGTGGCGCAGAGAATCA